CGCGGGGCGGAGAGACACCCCCCCGCGCGCCCCCCCCCGCGGCGCCTCCCCACACACACACACACACACACACACACACACACACACACACACACACACACACACACACACACACACACACACACAGCAGTCTGTTAGTACAACGTCAATATCTGATTAGATCTGTTCTGTTGATCAGGTTCCTGTTTTCATTTCATTGTTCAGCAAACATAACACATGCTCTGATCTCTCGACTGTAAAAACAATAATGCAACTGTTGTTCTTATAAACAGAGAGAGAGTCCATGGAAAACCTTGAAATACCAGGATAATATTAATGCATAACAATAAAATCATAAGAAGTCACAGAAATGTATACAGTCTGAATAGATCTTATGTTGTGCTCAGCTCTAAAATATTTAATGGGCTCTTTTTAAGTGCAATCTCAATAAAATGATTTTTTAAAACCCTTGTCCTGTGATCACAAATTATGGAAATGGGAAGTCACTGGTCAAGAGGTCTGTGAACACTGTTAATCTTCTATGCTCCAGACATGAATGCAACTGTGTGCTTTTACTTTACTGAGTCATTAGACGTGCATTAAAACAGGGGAGCAGAGTCACACCTAAAAACAGAATATTACAGAGATTTTTAACCTGAGATTAAGAATACCCAAACAACTACTCATCCTAGCAACCACCCAGATCACCCTAGCGACTATTCAGAACACCCTAGTAACAACTCATAACACCCTAGCAACTATTCAGAACACCTTAATAACCACTCAGAACATCCTAGTGACAACTCAGAACAACCTAGCAACTATTTAGAACAACCTATCAACCAACCAGAACACCCTAGTAACCACTCATAACACCCTAGCAACTATTCAGGGTAACTGAACTATTCAACATATCCGGTTGCATAAACTTTTTAGACTAGTCTTAAAAAGTTAGTCATCTATTTTTTTTTCAAGACTGGTCATAACACCTTAACAACCACTCAGAACATCCTAGTAACCACTCAGAACACCGTAGCAAATATTCAGAACACCTTAACAACCACTCAGAACACCGTAGCAACTATTCAGAACACCTTAACAACCACTCAGAACATCTTAGTAACCACTCAGAACACCCTAGCAACTATTGAGAACACCATAGCAACCACCCAGAACACCCTAGCAACTATTCAGAACACCTTAACAACCACTCAGAACATCCTAGTAACTACTCAGAACACCCTAGCAACTATTCAGAACACCTTAACAACCACTCAGAACATCTTAATAACCACTCAGAACACCGTAGCAACTATTCAGAACACCTCAACAACCACTCAGAACATCCTAGTAACCACTCAGAACACCCTAGCAACTATTCAGAACACCCTAGCAACCACCTTGAACACCCTAGCAACTATTCAGAACACCTTAACAACCACTCAGAACACCCTAGCAACCACCTAGAACATCCTAGCAACTATTTCGAACACCCTAGCAACCATGCAGAATGCTAGGTTCATGGCTGTGAGTTTTGCATGAGCAAACACCACTCACATTTTCTTCAGAAAAAAAATCTTAATGAGTCACATACTGCGAAAAAGCATCAGAGCAGATTAAACCCTGTGATCAACACCACTGTAAATCATGACCCTCTTCGCCAATAAATACTCACTGTCATTGTGTTTGCTGCTCGCTTCAAGGGCTTTCAAAGATCAGTAAGAGCCAATGTGATATTCAGAGAGAAAGTGTGTGTGTGTGTGTGTGTGTGTGGTCAGTAATTACTAACACACAGTTAGTAAAGGTCTGATAAATGGTGAGTGTGTGTGTGTCCATCCACACGGCATCCAAAAACACTCAAATATGTCCCGTCCCCATTCAAGGACATCGTCAATAAAATGCAATTATCCCAGCGACCAAAAAAGGTCAGACAGGCAAAGTCAGCTCACCAGGCTGGACGGACCCACAGCAGATGACAGCGCTGTAAGGTACAGGACAAACACACACACACACACACACACACACACACACACTCTCAAGGGCTGGTGAAAGCACTTTTCAATTCACACAGTTGATTAAATGTGATCTAATGGATGTTTGAGTGAATCCCACATGACTCTTTGGAGTTCAGACCTGAAAACACACGCTGAATAACTGAACAGTGTTCACAAACTCACCTTACTGTAACTACCATAAGAACAGTGTGCGACAAGACTTTTACATTTTCTAAAGGAAATACTGAGTGTTACTGTGCCAGGCTGTTGATATGTGGTTGCTAGGTGGTTTTTGGTCCCTAAATGACTGTAAATCCCTTCTTCAAGTGTGTGTCTGTGGGATTTTTTGCAGTAGTTTTATCGTCCAGCTGATAAAAATCATAAGTCTGAAGGCAAAAATGCATAAAACATCCATGCATTATTCAAAAATAACATTATACTGTATTCTAAAAACAGCCACAGTAAAATCGAATAGAAAAAATTGCATGGGAAAAATTTTGTGAAAAACTATATAAAAAAGTAAAAATAAATAAATAATAAAAATAAAGTTAAAGTAGCTATCTAATAAATTTGATTAAAATAAAATGTGATTTACACAAATAAGCAATACATTAATAAACTTGATTAAAATAAAATAAATTATTTTAAATAAATTATAAATAAACATTTGATTAAAATAAATAAAAACAAATATTGATTCAATGATTAAAGCATAATTAAATAAAACTGTATTTAAATAAACAAACAAATGCATTTAAATTAATAAATTGATCAAAATGAATAAATACAAATTGATTTAAGTAAATAATAAATACTAATAAATAGTAAATAGTAACAGATAGTAATAAATATAAATACATCTAACAGTACAATACTATTGTGAGTAGAAATAAACAATGATGTAGCATAATGTAAACAAAATATTTCAAAAATAATATATTATACATATTTATAATAGTTATGTTTTACAGTATTAATTAAGACTTTTACACATGAAAATATGTAGCTGCCTTTTAAATTGATCATATTTGGGGGTTGATGGCATCTAAAAGATTAAAAAACCCTGATATAGCTTATTGAATTTGTAAAATAATAAATCAATACATAAGTAAATAAACAGAATTATTCATAATCATATGAAAACACACACAATTATTGCAGCAAGTAATATAGAACATTAGCATTAACTATCAAAAAAGTACTTCTTTTTGAACATCTTAATCTTTGAAGTTCTTTGGAGTACCATGTAAATACCATGGTACAGATATATGGACATCCAACTGAGCACACAAGTGTTTATATCTGCTATTTTATAGTGGCTTTGAATATGACTCATCCAATCAGAATCTACAGCCAGAAATATATGTTTTATAAATTAGAGTTAATTACAGTAATTGTCGTTAACTATTATATTTGGGAGACAATCTGACATGCTGAAAGGAGCCAAGACAATGAGAACCACAGAGAGAGAAAATGCTTCCCTCCGGCATATTTTTAACTTTCATAACAGACAGACTGAGAATAAGGCCCTTCAGCTGGGATACACACACACACACACACACACACACACACCAGAACAAGTCATCCATAAACACATTTCATTACACCAAATACACAAAATAATGTTATTTTCAGCAACATCATACGACCCCTTTAAGAGTTTTGAGTTTTTGGCATTTTTTAAGTAACTTTTTTTAAGTAATTTTTTTTAATGGATTCAGTTTTAGTTAATGCTAATCACCCTGTCCTGTAGCTGTTCATCTTAAGGAGCCCCTCATTCCTCCACATGAGGTCCAACCACTCCAAACCCACGAGCAGCACTCATCCTGAACGCCACAGTGAATCCAGGCGGAGGAAAGCAGATCTTCTTTGTCATTTTGACATCCTTCTCCTCATGCTAATGTGTGGCACCTCTTGCCTGATGTCTGATGAATACTAATCAGATTTACTGTCTGTGCCCTGCAGTGTTTGCCTGCGCTCGCATCTCAATAATGTCTTTCTTTCTTGCAATCGTTCTTCCAGCTTTTGACTTGGTGACAAGTGAAATAATTTTTTCTGCATATTTATTCCTTCCATGACAGAATTTGCATAAAACTGGACCCAGATCCAGAACCACACTGCCAGAACCAAAACTCAAATGAGCTTCAATCAAATTCAAATGTTATTTTTCTCTCTCTCACACACACAAAATGTTTTTTTGACCTTCCATGCTGTCAGTAATATGGACCAGTTTTGTTGTGTTTCTTGCATGTGCTCCTGTGACCCAGTTTTTTCCCTCTGGTTGATTTGTCTTTGAATTCACCTGTGTCTTGTAATTACCCCTCGTTAAGCCCTGTATTTAAAGTGTTGTCTGTCCCGTGTTTCCTTGTCCGGTGTTAACGTCAGTTATACGTGCTTTGTGTGCGTCTCCTGCCTAGCCTGTGTTTTCCCCAGTGTGGATTAATAAAGACTGTTCTTTGTGAAACTCCGTCGTCTCCTTGCTGCTCATTCCTCGTTCCAACACACCAGCAGCATAACACATGCATAAAATAAAAAACTAACATAAAAATAACAAAAATAAAAGTGAAATAAATGTACACAAACCAGAACAGAAATAACTGATTAACATAAACCAGAAATACAATTGACTACACAACGTAAAAACAAACACTTTATATATGCAATATAATTTAATATAAAAATTATATAGATATAGGACTATGTACTGTATAAAAGTATGTAATAGTGTGTTAATATTTATTATGTTCATATTTATGACTATGTAACAATGTTAATATTAGTAAATATTTATTAATACATTCATTTTTATGAAAACATTCACT